GTTTCCATTGGTCACAGAGCAACAAGTATCAAAGAGTTTAAAGAGGAAATAGCTTTGACCACGACACATCATTTGTGATACTACTGGAGACGCACTTTCTGCCTATATTGATTAGCTATCAGCATCTGCAGTGAATGATGTTAAAGTAAAGTCTTCAGCCCCAAAAACAAATATTTCAATCTCTCTCAATTGAATTAAACAACTACAATCTTTATTTAAACCCCATGATGTGCCTGATAGCCACTAAACCTGCCTGCATGTTTATTTTGCATGTAATTTTCCTAATTCAAAGGATAAAGAGGAGACAAACCTCAAATGTATGGGACAGCCACAAAATAAGCATACCACCACAACTGGACTAGACTGGACTAGACATGAATGACACCAGGTAAACTATATCATGCCAACTGACCAAATGTGAATAGTTGGACAGGGATGAAGTGGCTCGTCCTATTTTGAGAGATGACAAATGTAGCATGGAGAGACTACTTCTAAAGCCCACGGTGTAGAGTAGGAGGACAGGAAATAATCCCCCCAGACATGACACCATAGAAGTGCTGAGAGCAGCGCAGCAGAGTCAGGACGCTACGAGCTTTATGATCGAGAAAGCAGGAGCAGACGTGACTCCTCGCTGTCCTTTGTCCCATGCAAATTGCACCAACAGAAAATGCAAAACCAGGTATTTAGGTCGCTGTAATCTTGGCATGTCGGGGAACTTATCTAAGGGGTCACCATTGTGTGACTTCACTGCCTGATCAGAAATCTGAACGGCCTGTTTGTTCTCCAGGTCTCATCGATAAGGACGGATGTACCCAGCAAAAATATGAGGAACTTACCTCTTCTGTATTTCTTGCCACAAGCAATGACTGTACCACTCTGACTAGCCCTGCTGCATTGTGTTGAAAATTACTTACACCTATGAGAAGCTGATGATTGCTTGGCAGATGACGAGCTTTACAGTCGGAGACGCCTATAATTTTACATGATATCATTGAAAATATATTTATTTTAATATAAGTAAGCATAGGCCTAAAAAATCTAAATAAACCTTGATACAGAGATAAGAATCAAATTATTTTATTTTGGCAATGGGCTGCAAATTTGAGGTTTGGCAACAGCGGGGTTCAACAGGAAGGAGCCATTACCACCCCAGGAATCTTTTTTTCTTTCCCAACCCTGAAAACAACCAGAAGAGTCCAATTCTCCACTGACTTGGCATGCCTGCCTACTGCTGCCTGACAAGTGCAACAACAGCGTTACACCTCCTACTCCAACTCCTCTCCTGAGCAGTACCTTTCACGTGTTTATGAAAAGGACCCTTCTGATCATTGGCCAAGTCACGCCTGGCAGCACACAACCCTGGCATGATAACCCTATCAGATGAGAAGACCCAGGAAGACGATACGGGCGTAATGGGGTGGAAATCGGCCTGCCGTGGAGCGAAACACATTTCCTAATGCATAATAAAGCATTCATTCTCTCAGCTGTCACGAGGAAAGTCTTTGTGGGAGAGGGGGCGAGTTGGAGTTAAAAGTACAGAGAATCCTGTATTCTCCGTTTGTCACTGGGTTATATGGTGAGAAGAAGGAGAGAGTGTGAGAGAGAACAAGTGGCTGCAATTAGAGTCACATCTCTCCATACATTTAACAAGTTCGCTGTAGGCTTTTAGCTGATGGGCTTACCCAGAGCAGCCGACAATGACAGTGCAGTTCCTAGATCAATACACAGTAAGCAGTGGAGGGGTCACAGCCATGAAGCCCAAACAGTCGATGTACAAATATTCCTTCGTATCCATGATGCTGTTGTGTGATACACTGGATGTTAGAACAAAAAAGAGCTGTTTGAGAGCCATATTCTCAAAAGCCTCAACATCCCATGATGCTTGCATTAAGGCAGACTGCTAAATTGGGTGCCTAGCTTAACAAGCCAATGCAGGAACTACTATGCACTACGGTTGTGAGTGAAGTAGCACTTCTAGGTTTTAAAAGAGTGTGTTGCTTGCCACTACACGGCACAGCCCACCAGGCAAGCCTTCTCAACAAGGACCTGAAGGAGGTATCATCAGCCAGCAGTAGTTGGACTGTGTTGCTCAACAGATGATGCTGACAACTGCAGCTGATTCTCAGGAGGCTAGCTTCTTTTCAAATCCTTCAAAGGATGAAGTGACAGACAAGGAAGAGGAGCCGTCACCCACGATGGTCAAGCATCCTTTGTAAGATGCTGCTAGGCCTGCTACGATACCTACTTTTGTTGGACGATACATTGTCCCAGAATGAATTGCAAGTGCAATCTTTCAATATTCAATATTCAGACAACGGAATTGGAAAGTATTTAACTTTTTTTTTTTTTTTAAGTAATACATACAAGAAAGTAAAGAAGAAAAAAACATATCGCCTATATAGGAGTAGCCCAAAATTCAAATTTGAGATTTTAAAGGAAATTTCGCCCACAAAAACAAAAACTTGTGGTGCTTCTTGCAGCCAACAGATAGTCTAAGAGAAGCTCCGGGAAAACTGCAGTTACCTTTAAAAATTACAACCCGTGTGCTGCAGTCGGCTCCCGGGAACAGAAAGCCTTCGAGCCTGGCAGTTTTCCGGTGGATTTATGGAGTGGAGGATTAAGTTGGAAGTTAAATCTAAAAATGCCAGACTTTTTGGCTCGTTAAGCTACAGACTATCAGGACTGCGCTTCTTCCTTTCCAAAAGTGCCGCTGCAGGCTACCAGTAAGCTACACTGTTTTATCTTTCTTTGGACAAGTAGGTCGGGTTAGAGGGGGAAAAAAGGGAGAATCACTGCACCCAAGTCTTATAATGGCCTGGAAAACCCTGCTGTTTATTTTGGCATCATGTTGTGGACAAATCAAGGTCAGCAAAATAATTGAGGTCATGTCTATATATCGTACGACAAGTCATGATGTAATCATCGTGACAGGCCTATGGTGATTGGCCACATGTTTCTCAGTTGTCTGGGGACGTGTGTCCTTTGCGTAAGGTAGAGAGTGCTGCTGAGCATGAGTTAGAGTTAGACTTAGAGTTAGATAAAAACAATGAGGCAGACCTATAGCCTGCAAAATTTCTTTCTTAACGCAAGCATCAAGATTGCTGTTAATGATAGGAGTTCTGATATAGAGGCTTTTGTGCATAATTATGAAAGAGCAGGCCTCACAGAGAGAAGCCTAAGTCATGTTATTATAGAGAACAGGGGTTACTGGGTAAGTAGTTTTACAGCTGCCTCTGAGAGACATCTTGAGTGCTGACTACATGCACAGGCTTTTCCTTCAGATGATGCATGAATTGACAGTAGATTGCCTCAAAGCTGTTATCTGTACAGGAAATGTCATTTAGAACAGTCCAAATGAAAGGTGGCACCACTATGAGGTTGAGTGCTCCGGTCATTTAGTTTCCTCAGTCAGGGATGACTGGTCGGAGTTTTCAAGGCGCAGCAAAATCATGTCATGTGCGGAGGAGCCATGTCAGGCTGTCCCCTGCGTGGTGCAACAACAAATCGATCCCGATTGGAGTCAGCTGTTTGCTCGTTAAACCATAACGGCGAAACAGCTCGCAAAACCTGGCAGCTGGGAAGGAATGTCACTCAGTGGCTGGCTGCGAGCAATAACTCAAGGAGCCTTACCATGAGCAAAGTCTACGCCAGGAATACAGCTGATAGCACCATGAACGCAGCTTGTTTTCATAGTGTTGCATAAATAATTGCCCATGAGCAACTTGGAATGAAGAGTTTTACACACTGCAAAGATCTTCATGGATTTTAAGTACAAAAAAAATGAAAGTGTGGAAAGCTCACCATGTGTTTCAGGAGCAAAAGGGTCGCAATTTTCAGATATAGAAAAATGTACCGCAACAGAATTAAGAACAGCTCCGGCAGTGGTGTGAATCTAGTCTCTCTGTTTTGTCAGCGACCTAGTCCAACCTTGAAAACTGTGAAACGCGCTCTACACACACTGCACTTGCTGTATATGTAAAATGCAGCTACAGTTAATACTCCAACAACAACAAAAAAAAAAAACTCACAGTTTCAGTGTTCTGCTCTAGTTTCTTTGGCTATTTATCACTGTCACTGCTTTTTTTCCACACAGCTAGAAAATAATAGGTTGCTCTTGGATGCAGACATTTTGTTTGCAGCATGTGGGGGCTTGAGCAAAGCGACCTTGTTATAATTGGGGAGACTTTCAAAGTGTCTGTTGTTAAACTTATTTAAGATAATTTACAACATTTAATTGGGCAAAATGTGCAAAAATAAGTGTATTGCACATAATAAATATAACAGCTACATGATATGTGGGAAGAAGGGTCAATAAATAAACAACAGGCCTCTTGTAGATTTCTGTAGCAACCACATGTAGTCAATTAAAACAATTTTATCCATTTAAAATAGAGATTCTGGAGATTCTGACAACTTGGACGATGCTATACCGAAATCTCTTCTTGGATCCGTGAGAACCAAACATTACAAAACACCCCGGCTGTTTATGTTGGTTGTTGGTTGTGTGTGACAGCTGACATGCACCCAGGAATAGAAGCCCTGGAATGACTTAAGGCGATCAGATGTTCGCCCACATCTACAGATGATGGACAGGGTGCGGTAACATTAGATGAACTTACTGTATAAAAAACCAAAGACACACACGCGTACACACACACACACACACCTGTGGTGACAGTGAACATGACAACAGACCTCTCTGGCCTTTAGCTTCATAGGTCAGACTGCTCTGCTAACTGCAGCGCAGCATGGAGGCCTGACACACATGCTAATTTGAGCAGACAACCAACACCCACCGACCATTAGGGACCACAAAGCTTTATGTCACAAGCTATACTGGTGCTGCAGAGATGCAATCCCATTGTTCATATTTGCTTTATATCGTTTGAAAGTTTCATGAGGTTGTGTACAGCGAGATAAATTACAGAGTAGAAGACGAAGATGAAGTAAAATTCATAAAATCCCAACAGCAGTTACCTACTGTGTTTAAAACTTCTTACCTTTAACGAGTCAAAACAGGCAATCACCCTCCCGTTTTCCACCTGGCAGCTTTTGGGTGGGTGGGCAAATTTGCATTCCTCATCGCTGCGTGAACAAGTCCCTCTCTGAAACTGCCGGCACACTTCCAGGGTCAGCCATTTTGTGTCCCGTATCGAGGCAATGTTTAGAGCCATGTCAGCGGCGCTGGCTGTGGAGCTGTGGTGGAGTGGAGCCACTTGGTTTGAGGAGGAGGCTATCCTCTGAGGAGGCGTTTCAGAGTGTTCCAGTAAAAAAAAAATAAAAAATAAAACAACTAAAAGTGATGGAACATGCAGCTATAAATGATCTGCTTCAGGTCAGCGGATGAGGTTTGTCCTTGCGGACAGGAAAGTGGAGGTAATGGACTGGCAATGTCTCTGTGACCGGAGCATGGGACTGCGCTTCTGTTGTGGAGTTTGTCAGTCACACTGCTAATTGTTCATCAATCAGTAAGTCTCAGGTGCGAACCTCTGACTGGGCAGAGGGGGCATGCTCAGAGACAAGCTCTACTGGTTGTACCGATGTCCCCAAAAATGACCTATGTATGAGTGATGATATCTGTGCAAAGGTTGGATGTTAGGGAGCAACGAAGGTGCTATTTTGAGGTGCGATGGCACAGTTTAGAACACAAAGTTTGTGGCTTTCTCTCTCGAAGCTTTGGCACCTTGGCCAGCGGTGCAGTAGCTCCACCGCTTCACTTGGGGTTTCTCCACACTCAGCACAGGTAAGGACAAAGAGAAAGGTCGGGGGTGTTTGTGGCGGCTGTCCTGTCACGACTGCAGAGGGGAAAATCTGGAGCTCTTCAGAAACACCCGGGGATCTTCAAGTAAGGATGTCGTTTCACAAGGCACTTTCTGTCAGCGATCTGGAGAAGAGAAAGAAACAGAGTGAGGAAACGGTTTGCTAAATATGATTGGCAACTATTCAGCAGGGGTTAACAGCGTTTGTTTATGCATGTAAATCTGAAATGGCGTGCATGCTGCCCCAGAGGTATGCTCGCTCTGAGGTTATTCAGCAGCCACTTGAGTTTAAGTCCGACAATCACTGCTGTGTGCCATTGTGCGAGGTGACTACAAGCCCACTGGCTCTCCAACATATTGCACACAAAGCGGTGAATGGCAAAAACCTCTGTGCTATGAGACAGTGGACAAGAGCATCGAGTCAGAGCAGAGATAGAAAAAGGCCCCAGGGTCCAACCCGCCCTGTAGAGCCTTGCACGGCGGGATGGTGCAGCCAATAGAAAACCGCGCAGCGCAGCACTATTCCGGGCAGCCGTCCAGCAGCCACAGAGGGACCGAGACAGATGCATATGCCAGTGCCAGACACGATTATGACGCTGCCCAGTGTCCCGCAATATTCACTGGTCTCCCACCGTCCAAATTAGATACCAGCTCATTGACAGTGGCCTGTCAATTTACATTCATAGCAGGGAATTTGTGTATATTGCTCGCTGCCTGATCCTGTAAAGATGCTTGTCTCTGTGTCTGTTTGTTGTCTGGGGTCGTCTAGGGGGACAATTGGTGGAGCAACAATATGAGGAAGTGACCTTTAGCTTGAGTGCACGAAATCCATTACTAAGCTACTGCGCAAGGAGCTCTTTTCTTGGCACATCTGGAAATGTTTTTCTGCTAACTGGGGGTGGGAAAAGAGGGTTGAGGACACCAGACTGAGGGAGGAGAAGGGGTTGTAAAAACATACAGCTCTGGTTAAAAGATCCCCTCTTTTACTAACATAGAAACGTGTCCACAGAGAACAGCGGCAGGAGCAAACACCAAGACTATGTCAAATACTGGGAGAACAATATCTTAAACAACCTCTAAAGGAATATGACAAGCCTCACTTGGTCTTAATGAAGGCAAGTTGGGACTTGTGCTCAAACCATCTACGCAACCGTTGAGGGAAGAAGCAGTTCCCAAAAAGCAGTTCCCTTCAGAGGTACAAACTCTTACAGAGCTGTCACACAGGTGTAGCTAGGTTTGGGTTCGGCACAGTATTTTTGTCCTGCTGTCCTTTAGATTTAAAAATCATTCTGCATCTTGGTCTAAAACTTGGTCTCTCTAATTGGAGAATTCTGAATTCTGTTTGTAGTTTTGTTTGAAGTCTGAAATATCAAAGGGAGGAACTCAAAAAGACCATAAAGACAAGACCATATATCCTCGTTTATGAATAAGAGATCATCCAGACTTTACTTGATTGCGGGATGCTTACCCTTGAAAGCACCCACCAACACTACACAGCTCCAAGTCTATGAATCCAGACCATTGTCTACCTAATCATATTGTCCCACTTTAGTGCTGATCATGTGAAATAAGATGAGAAGCTTCCTCGCCCGATCACACTGACGCCCAGGCTCCACTTTCCAAGGCAGGATTTAATTTCACACCATCTCCCCAGGGAGAGAGCCAATCGCTGCAGAAGAGAAAGTCAGGTAAGAATCATGTCAGATCTGACCTTTAACAATTAATCCCATCTTATTTTTAGAAACCCGAAGAGGTGTGTGATCAAGCTAACCTACTTTGTCAGAATGTGTGAAGGGACGCTGGCACCATTTCATTTGGCCTCAAATGATGGAGGAAGTTGTGATAAAACGGTTAAGGGACACGGCCGTTGGTCATTTTTATTTTTTGTTAAGAAAATTGAGGTTTACAGCACTGAGAGCTTTCATAACATCACAACAGTGGGCCGACAGTGTGGATAAGGGTTGGCTGGAGTCATCTGAAAAGCTCACAGGGGACTCAACGGGCAACATTCAAACAATGTTTGTCATGAAAGGTATTCAAAACAAATGGTGCAGTCCGCAGATCAAAAAGACCCTTATGTGGGTGATGGTAGGATAATAATCATGCAGGAACATGACCGCAGGTCTGCTTCCATACTGTGCATAAGACTATAGTATGTTTGTGCAATATGCCCAGGGAACTGCTGTCCAAGCTACTGTTTGTTTGTCATTATTACTGGTGCTGTTACGCACAAAATCTGCATTTAGGCTGGACCTGGGTCAATTCTTTGATTAACTGGTTAGACAATAGAACATTTGCTTCATAAATGTCACATTTTAAAAAATTTAAAAAAAAGTGACAAGGAGTGTTTTACATGGACATGAATAACCTGTTTATGATCAAGCAGTTAGAGCATCTTGTTGATATGTTCGAGCATGTAAACACCATATCTCTGGATTTTGTTTAAGAAATCCCATTAAGGAGAGACCCAAATATGCTCCCTGGAGTACTCCGAAAAAAATGGAATACTGTTGCATGAATACAACATATCCAGAGTTTTGATTTTCGGTAATGAATCCACTGCCCCCTTGTCCTATATGAAGTGGTAGTGACAGGGCTAACTGCTAGCATCACACGGCTAACGTTGCCTAACAGTTATTACCAGGTTTTACAACAGAAACAAGCTGTTTCAGAGTCAGTTCGAATTCGTTGGGACCATTTCAGAGTATGGAGTCAGATGTTAGCAGCTGCTGCTATGCTGTGTTAGCTCGTGCTAACCAGGCAGATGTTGAAGCAATCGTTCCCCGGGAGAAGAGCGGCTCTGGAGACAGCAGCAACAGAAAGTTTGCTAAACTGGCAATGGTCAGGATGGTCTGAAAAGATCAAATTCAAGTATCATTTGACTGGAGACTCTTCAATACTACTTTATACTGACTTATTTCAGTAGCTTAAAAAATATTTAATAGCAAAACTTAGTCCTAACATTAATCAAAGTCCAAGACAGTGTTATAAAGCAGTGTTATAAGGAATACCGTTAGCCTAGTAAGTAATGTGAGTGTGTATAATCAAGACAGAGCGAGACAGGCAGACAGTGGTTGGCGCTCAGAGCAGACACCTGGTTGGTTTGTTTTTGTAAATATCACAGATAAGATCATAACCGGGATAAGCCTCATGAACGGGTATTCATGTCAACTTAAATGCACTCAGTGTGACATCAATAATTATAGCCTAAATGCTTAGTAGATAGGTAAAATCATCAGTAGATTAATTGATACTGAAAAGATGTACTGAAAACTTGAGCACCTAACCATTTATAATTTGCAGTGTGATGCATGTGCCTCGCCAAATAAGCTTGACAGAGATGGATGTGCAACAGTGAAACGACGCTGCTGTAGCATGTTAGCTAATGCTAGCCTGTCTTCAGCAGAGACGACCGAGCCCTCTCACATTTTTGAAACATATCAAAGCCCCTGTTGGAAAGCAAACTGTCATCCAAGGGGGGGAAAAGTGCTACCTCTTTTGTGTAACAACATCCCGTCTAGTCTGGTTTTGACTTAAGTCCTTGGACGCCTTTGACTTGGCTTGGGCTAGCTTAGCCTCTGCTTGTGCATGACACCTATAGCACATGCAGCCTGGCTTAGTTTACGCTGAGCTTAGCGGTCGAGCTTTAAACACAATGCCACTGATGTAAAGGGAAAGACAGATGGTCAGCAGGTAGGAAGGGACCATATAGCACCTAGTGTTTTGACCTTAGAGATAAGCACACCTCGTATACCGTCATGACTGACCTAGGTTCTGTTTCTGCAGTTTGAGTCCTTCCAGGGACAAAAACTGACAGTAATAGAAGAAGAGTCAAGGACTAGTGTTATAACCTGGCTCTGACGAGAAATATCTAGTGTTTCAAGGTTTTGTAATGACACAGATGCCGTTCATCATTTCCGTTAGAGACACCCTGGGTGTGTGAATGTTAAAGGGACGGTCCAGTTTTTTCGACATGGGGTTACATGGGGTATTTATCCATAGAGAGTTTGTTACACACAGTAGATGTCATTGAGAGTGTTTTCACTGCTTTACCTAAATGTTAAACAGTCATTTCCAACGGGAAAACTAAGCCGTTTTATCAGTCTTCAAAGCCAGACTCCATTGAGAAATACAGTGATTTAACATTGCTAAAAAACAGGAGCTGCTGGTGTACCGCTGCATTGAGCAATTATTTTGTTTGTGTTTTTGTGTGACTTCGGCATTCAAAAGGATTCGTTCGGATTCACCAAAGCCACACAATCACACAAACTAACTAACAGATCACAGTAGCAGTAGACAGGCAGCTCCCATCTTCAGCAAACTAAAATGACTGTTTTTGTCAATGGAGTCTGGGGGCTTTCCACAGCGGTAGATTGCTTAGCTTCTGTGTCAGACTTCAGCCTGCTTCTCCAAACTGGGGATGTGCTGACTTGCATCTACTGTATGTAATACACTGACTACGCATAAGAACCCCATACAAACGCACTTCAAAAAAATCCAAACTGTCCCTTTAATATAGCTGTTCACTTCACCAACAGAATCTTTCATCCTGATGCATCATCCTTTGTTTTCAACTGTACACATTTCAAACAAAACCTGAAGAGCCGAATCCTGCAGCGCACTGTATATCCTGTTTATCTTTAGTCCCTGAGTTCCTGCAAGAAGCCTTTGTCCCCTCTGTGTCCTCAGTGCAAACAGTGGAGAGACAGGGTGACCTGATAAAGCAGGGCAGAGATGTAAAGAAAAGCACCACAGTACTAGACTTTATGGATTACTGACGCTTACTAAGGCCAGCTGGCAGGGGCATTATCTTGGTCAGTCTGCTTAATTGAATGAGAGTCAGCGGGACTGGGCCGTCTCGAGTGAAAGTCATTGGCTTGACCTCTGAATACCACGTATGTAACCCATTAGTCTGGTATCTGTGCGCTCTGTCTGTGCGCTGCGGTTTATCTTAGCTGCTTGTATTTGTTCAGCAGAGACGATAAGCTACCTGGTTTCCATTGGTTGTAAGCCTTGTGACAACGTTTGGCATCGGCCGGGTGTTGCCAGCGAAATAAAGTTGAAACACAAACCACTGTGACAGACAAGCACCCGAGCTGGGTACCTGAGAGACCGCATTTCCATTTATTACCATTTTATGCTGGCGAACCACAGTTCTATGGTCATTTGCATGGCCAAGAGGAACAAGTGGTCAATGTTTTTCAAGGCTGCGCAGAGAGGGCCTCATTGTTGAAGTGTAATAGGAAAATGTTCTGCTTCCAGTGAGTAATGGAAAGTGAGCAAGCCTTACAGTTTTTATCAAAATGTCCCCAACAAACCTAACCTGGCTTTGAGTGTGACATCACCAGCTCTCAAAATGCTCCTTTGCATCCTCCAGAGTGGATCAGACCCTGCAGCCTAATTTGTATTTAATACTATGGACATTACGATGCTTATGAAATTGTCTTTGGCATAAGCTACAGCTCCTTGAGTTCAATATCATCAAGTGCCATTAGCGATAAGGACAGGTGAGTGAGCTCAGGAGAGGCTATACCAGGACTAAGCTACTGTTCAGAGGCAACGCAAGAAGCATTTCACAGAGTCAGCAGATAGGTGTGCCCCATATCATAATAGCCTTAGCTAAACCACAGTGACCCGAATGGCCCTGCTTATGATATGGGACTGGACTCTCCTCTCCTGACCAGTGGCCTGATTTGTAGCACAGAACAGACGATGCACTGTTTCCATCAAGTGTGTATAAGGACAGATCTGTATCTGGGATGGATGTCAACCCCTGCACTCTGTAAATGGACTTGTTTACTGTGTAAGTGTTCTTGTCTACTCCCTGCCTCGCCACAGGACTCGAGCAAGTCATCAGCTAATTACAGTATAGTTGGCAGCCAGAGGTGAACACTGCCGTTCAGATAAACATGATGATTAACAGGATACCCAAGCTCACTTGATCGAGAAGGCTGAGGTGAAAATTGCACTGTGCCTACTGTAAAGCAGCTGTTTTCCATAACTTGCACTGACTTCATACAGCCTAAAATCGAGGATGGAAAATACCTCGTTAGATTAAAGCTCTCATACATTGAAATATTAAGCGAAACACATCAAATGAATTGAAATCTTAAGCCTTCAAATTACAGCACTTGAAAACACAAGAGCCGAATGATTCAGCAAACTCACCCCTGTGTCACAGAGCAATCAGACTCCCTCTTTCAAGCAGGAGATGTCTGAAAACGCTACCGACCACTAAATCCTTTTTAATACCATCTTGAGGTGCAATTTGCATGAGAGTCAATTCAGAGAAAGGGGATTTCTGGCTGATGGGGTCTTGCAGTGAGGACTTGTCTGAGACTTATCCCATTCTTTGCTCAACAGGAAGGGCTGAACTGATGTTCCATTTTAGAAAACACCCACTTCCCCTTGATCCACGGCCAGATGTATGACACCACCCTGGCCTTTTCCATGCGGCCGATGATGTCCACTGCTCGGCTGCTACAGGCCCAGCGTCTAAATCTAAATCTAGACAGGCAGCGGAAAGCGAGGGACACGTCAACCGTGCCTCGTCTAACTCAAAAGGTTAATTATGATGCGCGCCTTATTAGAACTGTGAAGTTCCAGCTATTTGTGTCCACATACAACACGAGACCCTGTCCTGAGCAAACAATCTTTGCCCTTGTTATTTGGAGAATTTGCACACCACGAGTTACGAGGCGAAACTTTGTGAGAGCCGCACAATGCGAGCAGTGACAGGGCAGATGCCACACAACGCGACAGGCTTTTCTCTAGAGAGTGAAAAATATGGAGCCCATGTGGCAAAAAAGAAAAAGAGCGTCTGACATTTGCACTGAGAGAGGGGCAAGTCAACTGCTGTGATAATGCCTCTCCCTCAGGAGGCGAAAGAGAAAGTCCATTACAGTGCTGGAAACTGCAATACGGGTAGTTACTGCGTGGCTGCGAGCTCCCGCTACTCCTGTGCATTTATCCCACACACACCATATTTTCTTCCCCTCTCTTCCCCTCGCACAGATAAAACATTCCCCTCTCCTCCCTCCCCACCCAGACTGGTATGCAGCACACTGCAGCAAAACTCCTGAAAAAAATCTTTGAGGAAAAAAAGCCAATATGACGGTTCTTTCCCACCTCGTTCCACTCGGGTCCCGGAGCTCTGCTGCGTGCCTCCGTGTGTCTGCTGTCCCGAACATAGGAGGCACCCGGTGCTTCTGTGACACTGAGCTACAGCACAGTTTTCCCTTCAGCCTCAGCGACTGGAGTTAATGACCATGTGAACTGTTGTCATTCCTCACCAGCTGCCGAGTGCTGCAGCCGGAGGTCCATGCCTAGACAGGGATTTTCTCTCGATGTGTCTCTCTCTCTCTTTCTCTCTCAGCGACGGAGCAAGCGAGCGAGGCAGGCAGGCAGGAAGCAGAAGAGTGTCTACTCCAACTATCTGGCTGAAACACTTCCAGCCAACCCCCCACCACCACCACCAGCACCACACACCCCTAAAGCCAGCCCCTTCCTGCCCACCAGCCTGTGGCAAGGCCCTGCCCATTAACAGCTCCAGCCAATAAAAGGAGAGCTCCTCTGAATCGCAGCTTTCTGAGCCTGTCGATTGCAGACTAAGTGATAGGGCGAAAACTGTGCTTACAGTAACATCCTCTGAATGCTGATCTTGGGGAGGTATTTCCCCAATTTCATGCCTACATTATTTATCTTTTTCAATCCTACCCCAGTCAGCGCCACCTGAAAATACAAGAACAGAATCCAGACTCGTGCAACACAGCAATGCACATACGCAATAATCAAAGAGTTGCTGCAGTCGCATATAAAGACCAGCCTTGTCCTTGTCTATGTTCTATCATCACATTTAACACCATCCCCCCCAGGAAACAGGAGCACCACACCTCCTCCCCCTCCTCTCCTCTACCTCCCCTCAGCATCCGTCCTCTAAACTCATTCACTCCACCATCCAGACACTCCTCTCCCCCCCTTCCTCTCATATCCCTCACCTGTATGTCCCCCCCTTTTTCTCAAAGCACTCTGCCCTCTGTTTCAGTCAAATTCTTTAAATGTACCCGACTGGAAAATTGCACAATGGTGAACATTTCTGTGATTGTTATTGCATCAGAATTGTGGCTGGGATTGAAAGTCTTGGTCTGTCTCCTCCCCTCCGCCCGGCTGATGACATGCTGGTTGGCATCATATGAGCCGTGAAACCGGAGCGTCACAGAACTGATGAGTCAGAGATCCAGCTTCATGACTTTTCGATCCAGATTCAATAGAACAGCTGTACCGTCTATCTCTGTGTCTCTCTCTCTCTCTCTGCCTCTGTCTCATACAAAGGCTGTGAATGACGCGGCAGCCTGGGCGTTTCGTTGACATCAATGAGGCTAAACATGCTTTACAGTTCAATGATAAACAAACCTATTTGCTGTCTGATTACGCTTTAATAGCTATATATAATCTGATCTCACAGGAAACAGGTTTGTCAAATGGTTTAGGGGGGGATTAATCCCTTGAGCATGAGAAACTGTCCACCTCAGCAAATGGCAACGAATACTGACGTCATCGTAGGCATCAGAGCACCTGTAATGAAATAACACAGACAAGCGCTCTGCCATTATACGAAGAGGAAGGCGGGGGATGTCAGGCTTTGTCAGGAGCAAAAGTGTCACCTTACACCTTTGAATGAAGTCACACTCTCATACACACAGATGCAGCACACTGAAAGAGCTAGACGGCAGCAATACCGCAGAAACTTCACTGTAACGTCAAACAGCTCAATCTGTTATCATACATCCACAACAACAGCACCTGGACCAGGCCCGGCTGCTTCATCACTGCTGATAGATGAAGCTTATCAATGTCTCATTTGGCTGCAAACGACTCCTCAATAACCACATTACTGAGTAACTGTCAATAAATGCACAACAAGGCTGCTCGTAGCTAATTTCCAGCGGCAGACCTCAGATAGCCTACCTTCTAAATAGATTCGTCCGACAGGAAAACAAACAAAAGCCTGGCAGACAAACAAGCCGAGCCACTTCCTTCCCGCGCCGTATCCCCTCCCCTCTTATTATCCCTGTCCTGTTTGACCCCGGACGGCTTGGCTCGCTCGCACACAACCAGATTTAGGATTCTGCAGCCCAAAGCGGCTTCATTTTCAAAAAACAAAAGGAGTATTCCGACACAATGGCTAATTACATCAAATGAAGATTGATGGGTTTAAAATGCTCCGCAGTACAGAATACAGTATTCTGTGGTGGTGGTGCTGCTGGGTAGTTGGGAAAAAAAGCAGGGCTTAGAAATAGGGCACCAAAGACAGATTAATGAAAAGGCAGCTGTCTTTTTCTATTATTAGCCGTAATCAAATATCAAGCGGCAGAGAGTTGTGCTTCCTTCCGCTTGAAACCCATTCTGGTAAGTCTGTCACACGAGTCCACACGAGGATGGACAATACACAAGCGCCTGGTGAATGTGTAGGCGAAGATGAACCAGGAAATACTGGATTCTCTACGTTAATATTCCTGCTGGATTGAGATAGGGTTGGGTAATATGGAGGAAATCAAATAGCACAATGTTTTTTATTGTAGGGTTGACTTTTGGTGCTTTACAACAGCTAGAACAGTTTGGAAAATTACAGTACTTTACTGTAAACAGCCTTTATCCAATGTATGAGACGACATCTAGTCTCGTATACTTTGGGATTAAACATTGACTATTAACAGTAGATTAATCTGATGCTAATTTGACCCTGTAAAACATTACAAGCCAACTTTTCATACTGCTGATTAAATAAAGTACATCCCCAACAATCATAGTACGCTGTGGATCGCTACGCCTTACTCAAGTGCACTGTAACAACCTTAATAAACACATTATAACAAGCCAAAGTCATATTGTTATACTGCTACTGATATCCCATAACGCCTCCATTTGTACAATTACATCCCCAGATTTGCATTTTCACACGGCCCAATTACTGTCCATGACCCAGCAGCTAGCCTGATCCCAACTTATTAACCTTACCCAGGTGTAAAGGTGTAAAGGCTCGTGCTCAGCCAACCTGCAGCAGATTAAAATGTGCCTCCACTTGTGTCTCATTAGAGCTGCTTTATCGTTTTCATGTGCATCTGGGAGTAATAACACACACTGGGTGCACCCTGTGACGATGGCAGCGTCACTGCTGAATAATGGTGACTGTCTATCATGCTTGGAATCAATAATAAATGAGTTATTATCAACCTGTTCCCGCATTATAGTCAGTCACCGATGACAAATAGCATACAGCAGAAAGCAGCAGAGACACACAGGCACCACTTTTTCCTCTGTAGCTGCTTTCACTTGTTGTCATTAGCCAGAGCAGTGATTGTAAGCTAGCATAGCAACCCAGACACCAGCCCATAATGTTTATGATACAGTAGTAGCATCACTGGAAGCATAGTTAGCCTTCTCTACACTCCAGAGAGCTGTTATGTTCACTACACCGCAGTTACAAGTGTGTAAAGAACAGCCAGAGGCAACGGGTGCTAGCTGCTAAGCTAACTACCTGCAGCTTACCTGATGACGAACCTGTCACATCCAGCCTCCACCAACCGCTACTCAAGAGCGCTATTCCGGTTCTAACGGGGACCAACGGTTCGGAACAAGACGCCAAAAAAACAGTCTTCGACCGAGACTTGACGCTGGTTCCTCCTGAAATCTTCCCAAACTTTTTTCTTGCTTTCAAAATGTGTGTCAGTGAAAGGCAGAAGTGATCTACCACTCGCTACACGCTAGCTCGCTAACTACTTTTAAGGCTAGGGTAGGAAGCAACAAGCGATTTTGACAGTTCGAGGAAATGTTGAATGTGCTTCGCGAGGGGGTCGCTACTTCACTCCACACATTAATAACGCTTATATTCGCGACTGTTTGGCATATTATAAGCTGCCACTTTAAAACAATTAGTATTAAATTAAAACGTGTTCGTACATAGCGTTCAAATACAACACGGGAATGTACTTCAGTTCGATAAATAGTTCCCACCCCACAGCGGAGTTGGTACAGTCCAGAGGAACCAAGGGTAAAGGGAGGGGGTGCTTGTTACCTAGGAAACAACAGTGAATCTCCCTGGGGGAAAAGATGTGGCCACTGATTTATGAACCAGTGCCTGTCTGTCTGTCAAAATAGGCTGCTATAGGCAAGATAAAAACATACAGCTGTTTATTATGAGTTACTGCATTAATTCCCATAAATTCTGACACTTTAATATGTGCAGTAACACCCTCAAAGACATGATTTCCTGGATAAATAGTGAAAATTGCTGTATTTTTTATTATTATTTTAGTCTGGTGTCACTGATTTGGCTTAAATTTGGCTTATTTTTCCTGATTATACATCTAGATTTCTGCTCTATCAAAACCAATCATCAATTAAACAAAGGATATGTCTAAATTCTTATAATCACTATAATATATATATATATATACGTTACGCTGATGTTTTTACTTATAATTTGTTCTTATTACTATTTCAAAGCTGTCAAAATGAATTTAACTGTTAAAACGACACAAAATACATTTAATTAGTTGGGGTGGGATTTACCAGAGGCCCCATGATACAATATTAAAACCATTTTTAGGTCATGATACAATATTATTGCAATTTTAAACATAACTGCAAATTAGATAAGATAAAGATAAAGTTTTCAGTCTGTTCATCTCCCTGTAATCATTTTTATTGCAGCAGAATGTATCTAGTGGACTGAAAATGCACCCAATTATATTATTCTAGTCGGCCACCAAAAGTTGAATTTGTATTTGGAATATTATCCTTGGCATCCATGTGACAATACAATATTTCCACACAAAAGTATTGCAATACGATGCTGTATCGATTTCTCCCCCTCCCCTGATCAAAGATTCTATCTCAGCACATCGTCACTACCTGATGCTTCGCAGCAGAGCATGCACGTCCCCAGCATTTTGCAGCCTAATTGCATGCAGCTGGCTGGATTTAGCAGTCTGTGACACACAGAGACCCGTTGTCAGCAAGAAGCGCAAACGAGTCAACAAGGAGCAAGTCACAAATATCCCCGGAATGAGCAGAGAGGCACAAATTTAGCCCCACTGACTGCTGCCCACGCCATGCGCTGCCTATTGAGCACATGAACAATGAACATAGCCATCACAGACTGCTCTGTCAGGGCCAAGGGCTGCTCCAGTGGAATGCTACTGGGAATGAAGGCATCACAGTTTGTCAGGACACAGGCCACTGGCGGTGTCAGGGATGAAGACGTTGTTAGGCGGTGTTGGTTTGATGTTAAGTGTAATATTTCATGAGCAGTTGTTTGAAACACAGGCACATATGGGCTCAATTTAATATCCATCATGTTGAAACTCAAAGACGAAGGATCTGGGGTCAGACGGGTGATGGTAACTGCTGACATGTGTTACT